TTTCAGTCATAACCTTAACAACACATTGACACATAGTTGAAACTATGAAGCTCAGTAACTCAAGTTCAACCACAAAATACATCGTCTATTCTTCGACAATTACATGTGTACTTAGGACCTGAGTAGGAATGCGAACGGTGCATCTTTTCTTTCTATAGACAGGTATATTTTTACCGCGAAATAGTTGAGCAAGATATATCTATTCAACAGTCAACTGATAACTTCTATGAAATTAATATTTTTGAACAGGAACACACATAATACAGACGTATTTATTTATTTATTTTAACACATAAATATTGGTACAAAGAGGCACCAAATATATATGCGCCACACAAATCTCATTCGATATGTTTGAGGACTGGGATACTGCCCGAGTGCCCAAACCGAAGTAGGTGGTTTTCTGAGGGGGCCGAACCCGGAGCCTTCGACCTGAAGGTCGGACCCACAAGGCAGTGGAGCAACGTCAAGAGATGCGGTCCATGGTAGCCGGTTACCAACGATCGGTTCATATGCCATTTGTTCCTTCAGGATACTGGAGCCCATGTGCACCATTGATCTGGAATCCGGTTAAAGCACCGGACATTCGCTTTTCTTCCTCTCAAATTCGTAAACAACATCCCTGCCACGAGGAGGCAGTGTGGACTTCCCTGGCAGGGGCTACATACGCGTGGCCATGTGAGAGCATTTCGAGAGGGAGGGCAGACTCTCCCGACTCTCAGCCGTACCAGGGCATTCGGGGGCATACAGACGTAGGTGGTAATAATTCCTGTCAGACTAGATTGATTTATGAACTTTCAAATCTCCATGATGTAATTTACGCGATGGATTGACAAATGACGAATGAAAAATATATCATGATCAATATAGAACTTCATAATATTTTATTATTTCATTATTTTTCCAAATGAACAGAAAGGTTATTGGATTATCCAGAAGATAAATGTTTTGAATTTATACCACACGATGATAAAGGTAATGTTAACATAATAATTCATATAATCCCACACTATTTCACATATCTGACTACTTTTATAGTTTAATTCATGAGTGAATTGAAGCTAGAACACCATGAAAAAATTTGGAAGCAATGAATGACTGTTTCGTCCCAGTATGGAACTCATCAGCGATGTGAACCCACGATCCTGTCTCGTGTGATTCAAATTTAGGATCGATCGATCTCGCACGTGAACTCTTAACCTCTAGATCACTGAGACTATCGTCATCCAACAGTGTTAATGTCTAACTTCAACTAATCCACGAAATTGAGCGGCACATCCATCATTGTCATCAGTGAGTTACTATCTCACAACAGACAGTGTTGTACTCTACTAGTCACTGCTTCACAGTAGAACTCCAAAAATAACTCTTGGAGACAGTCACTAGTTAACATATGTTGATTAGTATCAGAAGTGGGTTTTGTAAAGATTTTTAGTAATTTTATAGTTGAATTGATAAGTCGACTGAATCTAGACCAACATGGATAACCTGGAAGCATTCGACAGTCTTTCCGTCCTAGTCATGCACTCCTTAACAATGCAAACCCACGACCGCGCCTCGCGAGGTTCCAACCCAGAACCTATCAGTTTAGCGCGTGAACGCTTAACCTCTAGATCATTGAGCTGGAACCCAATGTCTAACTTCAACTAATCCACAAAATTGAGCCACCGTCCACTATTGTCTTCAATGACTTACTATCTCCATACGCTGAGAACAATCAACTGTATTTCTTATTTATTGACAAACCAATATGTTAGAACAATTTACCATTCAAATGTCATAGAAACTACATTACCTTCCTTTCATTCACTAATGACACAAATATACTATTCACTATTGACATATTCCAATGATTAGGCTTCTTTAGCTATGAAAATATACATCGTGAAGTAAATTCATTACCCAGTTATAAAACTTAATACATTACTGGCAAGACTATCATTTATGGACGAATCAATCAGATATAAGTCAACAGGTCTTGAACTTTGACATGAAATTCATTCATCCATTTAACTAAATAGCATCTTAAAAACCTTACATATAATCACCAACTGTAAAACATAATTCTAATGCTTCTGCCAGGGAAGTCCTACTCACTGCCTTCTCGTGGCATCACTGTTGTTCACGAAATTGAGAGGACGAAAAGCGAATGTCCGACGCTTTAACCGGATTCCAAACCAATGGTGCACATGTGCTCCAGTATCCTGAAGGAACAAATGGCGTATGCACCAATCGTTGATCACCGGCTACCATGGGACTGCATCTCCTTACGATGCTCCACTGCCTTGTGGATCAGACCTTCAGGTTGAAGACTCGGGGAGTGGCCCCCTCAGAAAACCACCTACTTCGGTTTGGGCAACCGGGCAGTATCCCAGTCCTCACACATATCGAATGAGATTTGTGTGGCGCATATATATTTGGTGCCTATTTGTACCAATATCTATGTGTTACAATAAATAAAATAAATTCCTTACACATTGGTTTTATAACCCTCATTTAATCCTAATTATTAAATGGACACTTTCAAGATCAGTTTAGCATCAGTCAAAGATCGTCCATAAATTATAATCTCACTACATTACTGATTTATAAATGAAAGAGATCATGACCCCATAACCGAGCACTTATGATCTCTATGTAAACATTTGAAATATTTTAAGTAACCATGGTAACTAATTCATAAATCAATAATAAATCGATATAAATTGTAAAAAAATGTATTCTGTTTTTTTGTTTTTATATATATATATATAGATAATGTTGTAAATTTTGGAGATAGTGGTTTTTTAAGTAGTTTCATTGATACAAGGGTCTCTAATATTTATTGGATGAACATTGTTTCATGTAAGTTAGATACATAGAATAATTCATATTTCAACAGTTTAGATAAACCTGTCAGTGATTCAATAGGTTAAACGTTCACATGCGCGACTGATATGTTGTGGATTTGAATGACGCCAGTGGGATCGTGGTTGTGCACTGCTGAAGAGTCCCACAATAGGACGAAACGCCCGTCTATTACTTCTAAGTTTTCAATGATGGTCTGACATCAATCGGTTCATGATCTCAATCAAAAATCTGTTCTTGTTATATTGAATTGATATTACATCACAGTTACGATTGATGTATGATGTATCCAAAGAGGATTACATTGATATTATCCATTATAAGAAAAATCTATATAGAATAGTTGAATAAAGGAAGAGTATTTTATTTCATTTGAAACACAGTTATATAGATATATTGAATTTATACGAGTTTCATATTACTTAACTTTATTTACTACTGTTATTTGATCATTGAGGAGCATAGGCTGCTCACTAGCACTCTCCATCCAAATCAATCCTGGGCAATTCTTTCCAGTTGTTATTGAACTTTTTTATATCTGCTTCTATTTCTCGACGTAATGTGTTATTTGGTCTTGATCTTCTCTGCTTTACTTCAGGATTCCAAGTTAGGGATTGATTCGTGATGTAGCTTAGTAATTTCCTCAATGTATGTCCTATCCATTACCATCGTCTTTTCATGATTTCCTCTTCAATTGGAAGTTGGTTTGTTCTCTCCCACAATAGTTTATTGCTGATGATATCCGGTCAACAGACATTCAGTATCTTCCATAGACAACTATTTATAAATACTTGTACCTTCTTGATGATAGTTATAGTAGTTCTTCAAGTTTCAGCTCCATACAATAGAACTGTCTTGACTTTCTTATTGAAGATTGTGACTTTGATATTGGTTGACAGTTGTTTTGAGTTCTATATATTCATCAACTGGAAGAATACTGTCTTTGATTCGCCAATCTTCGCCTTTACGTCTGCATCTGATCCTCCAAGTTTATTGATGATGTTCAGGTACCTGAGAAATTCCACATGTTCTAGAGTTTCTTTATCAAATGTAATTGGGTTGGTGTTCTCCGTGTTGTATTTGAGGATCTTGCTTTGCCTTTATGTATGTTGAGGTATGCTGATTTAGAAACTGCTGCCACACTGTTTGTCTTAATCTTCATTCGTTGGTGTGTATGGGATAGAAGGGTCAAGTTATCTACAGAGTTCAAATTGTCTAGTTGATTCCGGGCTGTCCATTGTATTTTGTGCTTCCCCTCAAATGTGGAAGCCTTTGTAATCCAATCAACCACCAGAAGAAGGAGAAGAGGGGATTAAGCAACCTTGTTTGACTCCAATTCTTACTTTGATTGCATCTATCAGCTGTCCTCTATGCACGACTTTGCAATGTAGTCACGTCGTATGAGTTTCGGATATTGATGACAATCTTCTCGGGAACTACATAACGTCCAAGAAATTTCCATAATGTTCTCCTATCTACACTGTAAAATTCTTTCTCATATTTAGTGAAATAAATGTATATCGACAAGTTCCACTTAACTGATTGTTCGAAGATGATCAGTAGTGTTGCAATTTGGTCTGTGTACGACCGATGCTTACGGAATCCAGCCTATTGATCTCAAAGTTGAGCGTCTACTGCGTCTTTCATCCGGTTCAGCAACACACTGTTGAAAACGTTTCTTTCTATCTATACTAGTGTGATTTTTCTGTAGTTCTCACATTTGGTTAGATTTCCTTTTTTGGCATCTTCATGAGGTATCCTTCTTTCTAGTTCGTTGACATTTGTTCCACCTTCCAAATCTTTTTGAATAGGAAGTGAAGCATGTTTACAGTTACTTCTATGTCGGACTTTACTGCTTCACCTGGTATATTGTCAGGTTTTGTTGTTTTCCAATTCTTGATTTATCCGATGGCCATCTTGATTTCTTTGATTGTTCGTAGAGTGACATTCCGCATTTCACTGTTAGTCATATTTATTCGATTGTACATTGATTGATCCTGTATTGATTAAATGTGCTCCAATTTAGCATGTATTCTATATATATTTTAGTTGAAAACAAATATCTAACAGAAATTGCCAAGGAAATTTCACATCAATCTAAAACACGTAAGTAACAATTCGACTGCATCAATGAACGTATCACAGTAAAAGTTATGAAGCGTTTGAGGATTATTGAGAAACCGGGCATTTTAAATGTTACTAAGGATTTGCTTAAATTATTATCATTATTATATCCAAATAAATTAATGGGTTTGTAATCATTAAGGCAACTCCGCCTGGAGCTCCTCCGGGGGCTACTGCCAGTCCTAAACCTGAATAAAGAAGGAGGGTTGGACATGGGTTTAGCGACTCCATCCTGTAGAAAACTAACTTACTAAATAAAACGCGAACCAGTAATCGTTAAGGCACCTGAACGAAATCATATTGCATTCGACTATTATGTTGTATAGTTGAATTCATGAGTCAATTAATGCTAGAAGATTATTGAAAACCTGGAAACACTGGACGGCCGTTTCTTCTAGTGACCATTAGAGTTCAACTAGGTCTGTTGTGAGACAGTAACTCACTGAAAACAATGGTGGATGGTGGATCAGTTACGTGGATTGGTTGAAGTTAGATATTGACAGTATTAGATATCAACTGAGTGATCTAGAGGTTAAGAAATCTAGCAAGCGCAGTCATGGATGCACACTGTTGAGAAGTCCCATACTAGGACGAAATGGTCATCTATTGCTTCCAGGTTATCCATGGTAGTCTAGCTTTAATTGACTCATAAATATAATTATTAACAAGTGTTTAGCCTACTGTAGTTTGATAGTCTACATGTACCTGTGATAGCAAGTCAATAGGAAAGATAGAGAGAAGACCATTTACAAGATCTTTTGAACACAGCCTTAGGAACCTACGACGGAAAAAAGTAAAGTCTTTACAAGTGTAGTTGCCAGACATCTTGTCGATAGTTGACACGAGGTGAATGTAAGTGATATATTCAATCATCGATCTTACTCCATCTTGCACAGGCGATTGCTATCAAGTCTTTCCAACTTGACTTACATCTACAGAAAAAAAGTTTAATTAGCCTTTCCCTACCATAGTGATCGGATATTTGTCTAATAACCTTTGGTAATCTTAATCTTCTTTTTTTCGATACAGTCTTCAACCTTTTATTATACTATCGTCTTCTGATATTCATCTCTTACAAAATCTGATAGATATTCCCAGATTTTTATATTCTATCATATTGAACGATTAGCTAATCATTTCACAAACTTCAATAAGAAAGTCAAGACAGTTCTGTTGTATGGAGCTGAAACTTGAAGAACTACTACAACCATCATCAAGAATGTACAAGTATTTATAAATAGTTGTCTATGGAAGATACTGAATGTCTGTTGACCGGATATCATCAGCAATGAACTAATGTAGGAGAGAAAAAACCAACTTCCAACTGAAGAGGAAATTATGAAAAGACGATGGTAATGGATAGGACATACATTACGCAAATCATCAAACTGCATCACGAATCAATCCCTAACTAGGAATCCTGAAAGGAAGTGTAAAAGAGGAAGACGAAGGAAGATATTGCGTCGGTAACTACATGAAAAGCATGAATATCAACTGGAAACAACTGCACTTGGAGTCTCACGCGAGACTGATAGGTCCTGGGTTCGAACCTCAAGGGGTGCGTGATCGTGGATGCTCACTTCTGAGTAGTCCCATACTAGAACGAAACGGCCGTCCAGTGCTTCCAGGTTTTCCATGGTGGTCTAACTTCAATTGACTCATGATTTCAACCAGTAAAATTTCGGTTGTGTACATTTTTTTCCATAAAAATTAATACCAATGTTTACCTTTACTAAAGCATTTATTGGACAGCATTATAATTCACTTAGTTTTATATCTTTCGCATATTAACTGAAATCATCATGAACACACATTTTTGATTGAGATGATGAACTGATTGATGTTAGACCATCATTAAAAACCTGGAAGCACTGGATGGATGTTCCATCTTATTGTGGGACTCCTCATCAGTGCAGATACACTATCCTGCTTTCATAGTTCAAACCCTGAATCATGATCTCAATCAAAAACTTAATAGTTTCAATGACCCCACACTGACCACGATATTCAATCCATTTATTATTTATAGTCATTTAAACATTATGATGGGTTACTGATAAGGTATGAAGGGTGTAGTTCAACTATATTTTATATGAAACACTTATACACCTCACATCTTATGGAAGATGATCATTCAATATAGTGAATTAATTAGAGTTAGGTGTTCGTAATGTTGTAATGAACAGGACACGGGTGGAGACTTATGTCAATATAAGTAGCACACATCACAATGTGATCAAGTGATTAGTGATTTGATCAACAAATTGAAGTTGTTTGATTTTATTTCCAGTTTGAAGATCATGAATAGTCACTAATATGGAATTCCATGATGGTGTAGCAAAGATCAGTTTTATTGATCTAAATATACATTAAATCAATATTGCCAATCGATACTAATATAGATAGAATTGAGAAAAAATTGATTATATTAGGGATTTTCTAATTTCTTTTTTTCAGTTAAGACTGAAACAGAAAAACCGGAAGATCAGTTGAATATATCAACGAACAACAACACTCACTCCATCGACTATAACACAACAAATATTAATACAAAATGTAAAACCTACAAACAAAGGTGAGTTACGTTAGTGTTCTTGTTGAATGGTTCATTATATTTGTACTCAAATAGATTACTTTTTTATTACATTCTACTTATTGACATTTATATAGACTTACGTACATACATACATGCATATTTAGTTAGTTAGTTACTTACTTACTCTTGTTACTCCTCGTGGAGGAGCATAGGCTGCTCATCACCACTCGCCATCCAACCCTGTTCTGGGCAATCTTTTCAAGTTATTATTCAACCTATTCATATCTGCTTCTATTTCTCGATGTAATGTGTCCTTTGACCTTCCTCTTCCCATAGAAAACGAACTCGTTAAAAAAACACACGCTAACTTATGTACATAAGTACCCAGTAATTTATCTAGTTCTCTTCATCTCTACTAATCTATCTCATGAGTTCGGTAACACCTATCTGTATAGTAATAATAATAATATCATGATTATATCCAAATTAATCAAAGTGGTGTGAATAACTTGTCGTATATACCATTATTATCCATCCCTATTGAGGTTGGTGACTCAAACTTGATTGTTCCATTTTTTTTCAAATATCAATTGTCAATCGTCTTTAGACTTCAATATTCTTACAGTTCCATACCAATTGCTTTCTGATCCCGCTCTTCACATCTTTATCTTCTTAACCTACTACTGCCAGAGATTGTTGTGTTGACTAGTGTTATATACTACTTATGTCGATATAAGTAGCAAACATCACATTAACTAGCATCTCTGTTCCAAGCCCGTATCAGCATCCACAGAACAGCACTCCTGATGGGCACCGACATCAGAAGTAGTAAACAATTGATTTAAACATATACATATCATTCTTTTGTTTTAATTATCAATGGTAATGTTTCAAACACAAATCAAGTTAATGAAGTAAATACAGTAAAGAATGAAACAATCAAAAATTATACACAGTCTTCTTTCTCTGAAAATTCATCATTTGAAGGTTAGTTTTGCCATTTATCAGTCAAGTTTTATGTTACGTTTATTTGTGTACTGTCAACTGGATTCAGTTATGAATTCTAACTTCTTAGAGAAATGTTGAAATCTTGAACAAAGTTAAGTTAGATCATTTTTGAAAACTGTTAGGTTTGAAGCTATGACTAGTTCACTTAATCTGCGAACGACAACAAAAACTCAGTGACCAAAGACCAGTAAGCTAGCTATTTGATGCTTCCCAGCCCCACTAACTAGAGCGAGAAATCCAAGCTTGGAATGGGAAAGTATATTCTGCGAACAGCCAGTAACGAGTGGTCCACAAATGGATCCCAAAAATTATTAATCATTATTCTTATCGGGGCATAACAAAAACTTGGAAGTACTAGATAATCGTTTTATTCTAGTATGAAAATCTGATGTGATCATAATTGATGGACGACCTTTGATCAATGTTAAACTGACCTTCGAGAGTGTCTGCCTACTTACTTAAGTTAAATGTAGGTTATAAACCAGTGTGAGAAATTAGAATTCGAATTTACAGTTGATGATTAGGGTTAGAAATTAGATTTAGCGCTTTCATCACAAACTGTCATCATCTATAATGCTAAGATGCTATTTGGCCAAATAGGTGGATGAATTTCGCGCCAAACTCTAAGACCTATTATCATAAATCTAATTGGTTTGTTCATAAATTATACTCTCACTGAAAATCTTTACCAGTACATATCCACTATTCAACATCCGAAGATCAATCATTGAACTGATCATCTTTAACAGTGTTATAGTTTAACTTCAATTTACCCCATAGCATGACTTGCTTTTTTAAGTTACCTTTCGTAACTCTGAAAACTGTCATCCTTTTTTGTTGTTGTTGTTTCTTTCTCTTTTATTACATTTAGGTTATATCTATCTAATCTATTTGCTTATTAGTATAGTATTAGCAATATTTATTATTGGAGCAGTCTATTTCTTGTGTACATATTCAAAGACTATGTCATCTTGATCAAAAAATGCTAATTCATATTGACTAATCGGATTGTTTTTATTCAACTTTATTCATTAAAATAAAGTTGTTACTATGGAATTTATGTTTATTGTGTTTATTATAGAATGATGATCGGATGTTCTTTTATCAAGATAACTAAAACAGACTAGTTCATTTGGTGAGACTCTAATTTATAAACGAGCCAATCAGAAGCGTTTTAGAGAGTTCAAGGTTACGGCGCCAATTTCAGTACTTAATGCTTATGTACGATCGGTTCACATGGGATTTTGTACAAAATGTGATCATAAATAAAACGATCACAAATAAAACGACGGGACTATAATTTATGGACGAATCAATCAGGTATAAGATAATAGATATCAGATTTTGGCGGGAAAGCCTTTCATCCATTTGGCTAAATGAATTTGTGGTATTATAGCTGATGTCAGTTCGTGATGAAAACCGCATATATAATTCCTAACTAAGGCAAATTATGACAGTTATTGCGAACTGGATAATAAAAGCATCAGTAACACTGGCTACAGACAGGTACTACAATATATACGGATGTTTGGGGTGCGTACAGACTCCTACATAGGCTTGGTTATGTGTATCGTATCGTTATCCACAATTAGCATTTTGTGCACTCAACAACCGGAGTGCACATAAACAATATTGAAGCTATATGGTCGAGGCTGAAGGAATTTTTGAGACTTTATCATGACTCCATAGGCCGACTATTCTGTAGCGGTATGGATGATTTGCTCTACTGGATGCATTAGGATTTTAGGACCTCTGAACCTCTTTCTAACCTTGACAAGTTGTTGAATCACGTATAAGAAGTGAATCCGAATTATTTTCTTGGTTTGTATAACATATTTTTACTCCATACGGACTGTTTGCTGATTGGCTAATATTTCTCACGGTCACTGAAGTTTCGTTCAATGGTCGTCCATAAATTAGAGTCTCGCTGTTCATTTCTATAGTTCAATTCATGGGTCTATTGAAGCTAGACCAGTATGGAAAACCTCGAAGCAATGGATGACTGTTTCGTCCTAGTGTAGGACTCCTCAGTATTGCGCATCCACGATCCCTCCCCGTGAGATTCGAACCCAAAACCTCCAGTCTCGCGCTCGAACACTTAACCTCTAGACTAGTGAACTGATCGGCATCCAACAGTATTGATATCTATCCCAACCAATTCATAAAATCGAGCCAATATCTACCATTGTCTTCAGTGAGCTACTATCTCACTACAGACACAGTTGTGAACTCCACTGGTTACGGTTTCTCACTAGAATTATATGAAATACCAATTGAAGCCAGTCACTAGTGAACATAAGATTATTATCAGAAGTGGGTTTCATGGAGATTTTTTAGCAATTTTATAATTGAATCGATGAGTCATTTAAGCTATACCACCATGGAAAACTTGGAGGCACTGAACGGACGTTTCGTCTTCGTATGGGACTCCTCAGCAGTGCCCATCCACAATCCCGGAATATGATGAAACATGCATCCTGGATTCCATTGCTAGTTATTATCCATCTGTGCTGATTGAGAAGATTGATGAAAATGAAATAAGTGATGTATTTATAACATCTTAGTGAGTAGAAAATTGAATTTACGACGTTTCATGCTCAAGTTTCAGTTAGTTCTTTAGAGCATCAATGATCAAACTGCTCATTTACAAATATTCTTTTATTCATTTATTCGAACACATAAATATTGGTACAAAGGGGTACCGAATACATATACGTCACATAAGTCACTTGATTTGTGTGTAGGCTATGATACTTCACGAGTGCCCTGACCAAAGCAAACGGTTTTCTTAAGAGGCCACACCCGGAGCCTGTGACCTAGAGGTTTGATCCACAAAGCGTTAAAGCAACGTCAAGAGATGTAGCCGATGACCAACAATTGATTCATACATCATTTGTTCCTTCAGAATCCTGGAGTCCATGTGTACAAATATTCTAACCGTCAAAGTTTAATCAAAGTAGTATAAGTGATTTGATTTCATTTGTGCCTACAATCTGGTGTCAGACAATGTTCAATGATGTTAGTAACAAGGATACTGGTTCTCCCTGTTACATCCTCTACTAATTGCAGCAGAACATGATCTATAACTAATGGCAGTCATACATGTAGTGTGATGTGTGCTACTGATGTCGATAGATATAAGTAGTATGTCACACCAATCGAAAGTGAAATACCTTGGGGTAGAAGGTTAATAAGATCGAATAAAAGAGAATGAGGATAGAGAGGGATTGATACGGAAATCAAAGAACATTCAAGTCTGAAACGATTGATTGACATTTTGAAAATGAAATATTCATTGTATGGTTCTCAGATTTTGTAATCAAATCCATTTGGTTGACCTCGCCTTTGTTCTTGTTCATTACAGTAGAACCCAACAGTCATAAATCAAAAGTCGGAAGGAGCAGAGGAAGTGGTTATTGAGTAAAACTTTGAAAAATGTACAGAAAAACGTAGGTATTTATAGTTATTAGTAATGGCTATTACATTTATGGGGCCCTTTAATTTTCTCATCATTTAGATTGAAAGATGTTGTCGAAAGAGCTCTCCATTTTAGTGGCCCGAGATCTGACTCCAAAAAGATCGTAATGAATGTTTGTTATCACCTATCCTCGTTTATAATGGTCGACTTTAATCGTGTTAGTTAATAACGGAATTCAGCTAATTCGTAAGGAGGCAAGTCATACTGTCGTCTAATCGTAGAATGCTGTTTTGATATTTTAAAAGACTCTTACAGGTTCTGATTAGATCATTAACTGGATCTTCGGTTTCCATTGCACGGACACTTATAATTTACAAAATGTACAAAATCAGGATCTTTGTGTTGCTGATTTCAGCTAATGGGGTAAGACTATATATTATGGACGACATTTGATTGACTCCAATGTGGCCTTTAGGATGTTCGCCTACTTACCAAGGCTAAATTGGAGTGATAAACCTGTGTAAAGAATGAAGATTGTGATTTACAATTGATAGTTAAATTTGGGAATTCGATTTGTGGGTCTCCATCGCGAACTGACATTAGTTAGAATCCTAAAATATCTTTGAACCATATGAATGGATGAATTCTGCGCCAACATCCAAGACCTCCATAAATCCATCATCTCGCCTTTAATGGACAGTCATTGACTTAATGAAGAGAATATTATAATATTTAATGAAATAGACGGAAGTACAGAAGCATTACAATATCAAAACACAAAATAATCAGTCATTCAAGGAATGGGATCTAAATACACATATGCTACTTCACAACTGTATAACGTTTCAAGCCTACACACCTATTCATAAAGCGTAAGAAACATTCTTGAAAGTATCATTCATAAGGTTCTAATCATATTCGACTTAGCTCAGACTAAGTTCTTGTTGGAGATGTTAGATCCTCAGAACTCACTTAGTAAATACCTTAATTTTGTAATTTTATTTTGAAAATTTGAATTTTTTTGGTTTCGCGACGAAAGTGCACTTTACACCTGTAATGTGGCGTCGAGTCGCGGTTGACGATGATCACCACTGCAGGAAAACTACGTTCCAGTTTACCGATAAGATACCCCATAAGCCAAATATCAGAACACAGTTGATGACTGTAGTCGAGATGTATTTGTTGACGATCTCGTGGCATCGAAAGAATACCGAGATCGTGCCAGGTTACAAGTGTGGCTACTGAGTGTAACCGGATTCGTGCAAGGCCACAATCAATGGAAAGAAGAATGTCTCTAGTACAGTTAAACAAACAAGTACAGTGAAACAATCACTGGTACAATTGATTATAACAATAATTGTTTCCATTAAACCAATCGCGTTCCCTTCATAAAAGTAGGTCACTACACACCTTCATGTCGTATTTCTCACTTGGGAGAATCTTAAACGCTGTTGATCTGTTGTATCTTTTAGTATGGTATTTTGTAACGCTTCTCATGGACAGTTTTATGCTGTATATATACGTTTGATTTGTGTCTGTTTTGATTGTTCATGTTTCTGGCTTTTTACAGAATATACTTCCATGTTGAAACTTCAACTTCTCTTTCTCTCTAGTTAGCGGAGCTGAGACACATCAAAATATCTAGTTTATTGGTCTTTGGTCACAGAGTCTTTGTTCCGTTTGTAGACGAACTGAACTCGTTATCAATTCAAAACATAACAGTTCTGAATGAAATACTTTTTGATTATTCTCTTCATCATTCATTTGTTCATAATATCACTTCCAAGAAGAAAAACAATAAGATGAATACAATTCTACGTAGTTATAGATTCAACAGTTGAATTATGACTAGTTATTTAGTTTCTTCTGAAGTACTAACTAACAGTATATGCAAGTTAAGGTTATATTGTACCCTACAAATAGGGAATCCGCAGTGGCATACCTTAATGATGTGAAGTTAAGCCAATAGGCTTGTCTCTAAACTTGAATTGGCCTAATCAAAAGGTGTAATTATTAGTTAACTATGACTATTTCTTTCATATTACTGCTTAGGGTTGATTCGTTTAAGAGTTAGTTCGTTTATTTCTCTACAATACATCCATGAATGATTTCCATATGAAATCCCACAGTAGTATCATCAATCGAGTCAGGGAATTAGGAATTTTAAAATCATGAATGAATGAATGAATTAATTCCTATTTCCAAAATCATTGATCCCTACCTCCAAACCCTAAAACTCTTAAATATCAACTACTAACACTTAAACTCCTAGAATCCAGTTTCTTACCTTTCAACTTCTTACCCATGATACTTTATTACACTGGCTCTCAACATGTTAACCTTGAATCTTTACGCTAAAAGGAGATTGTTAAGTTTGTCTTACATTATTCCTACTCGTTCCCTTTCCACTCTTTTGTATATTGTCTTATACTACTTATTTACATTAAGTAAGCAGTTGTATTCCCAACAATTTTTAGACTTATGTTGTCATGCCTGTTGAAGTGTAATATTCTGAAATGTTCACATATATTTATTACGTTTATTGAACTTATCATTA